CTCAATGGAGAGGCTTGAGGTCATTATGAAGAGAAACTATTGCCAAACTAATAAATTCAGTCAATTTTCTAATCTCACATGGTTCAAAAAGTAAATCAGGATCAAAAAATGGAAGTTGCACAACTACCAACACCACTAACACTAAACAAAAGTTAACTGAGCCAAGTAAATGCTGGAACTGGAATGGAACCAGAGAGAAGAATACAAACAGCAGCATTGTTAGGGAGGAATCAGAGCCTGCACAGGAAGTGGCTGGTCTACCACACAAGGAAAGAGAACAGCTGCTACCAAGCATGCTGTTTTATTTTTGTTCTGTGTAAAACTGTCACTGCCCTCAGTCCAGAGCCACGATAAAATTTACAGGCCTAGGATTTGTTTTCACATATTGTAGGAGGAATCATTTATAAAAACCTGCTTTTTCTCTAGGCTGTCAACTTTCAGAAAAACTAAACTTCAAAAACATTCTTTTAACTTTTCCAAACAGAATCTTACACAATCCAAACCTTATTAAAATAAACACTCTGTTCTAGAATTTATACTTGAGAGCAATGTGTTGTGGAGGTTGAGTACTTGGAGGATATTTTTTAAGAGTAGAAACATTACAGCAAACATTGCTCACATTCGTTTCAGATCTGTGTATATATTTTTGTCCTACTCAATGCCCATGTAAATAATAATGACTCAACAGTTTTCTAAGGTGATCACCTTGGTACAAAATACCAAGGCCATTATCTAAATCCATTCTTTTGTTAAGTACAGTTAACCTTTCAGTAAATTCTAAATACCTTAGACCGCAAAATCAGAGCTCTTGCTCTGTTTTCACAGTGCCTTTATTTCCTTTTTTTTTTTAAGGGTACCTGCCTCATTGTCATCTGGCTTTCCTCTTTCTTGGGTTTCAAGTGGAAGCATTTCCTTTCTTCTCCTTTATTTGAAATTAGAATGTATGTGACTCCTCTCAAATGGAGTGTTTCATAGACTAATAGAGGATGGGAGGGGTGGGAATGTCCTAACCCTAATACCTGATCCCTAAGTGGTAAAGCCCTAGGTGATGATTTCTCCTCACGCATTTAAGTGCATCCAGGGGGGCTCTTTTCATGGCTCCTCCTGTATTAATAGTAGCCATGTATACATTGCATAGCCATGTATATCTTGTCAAGTTACTTATTCTTTTTATAGGTGAGGAAAGGAAGGCTTGGAGATATTAAATAAAACTTGTCCAAAGTCACTTATAATTAGTGACTTACAATAAGTGAACAGTGACTTACAATAAGTGAACACCTGCTGTCTGAAATCTCAAAACTTTTTGTACCCAATGAGAAAAATGAAGTCTCAGGAAACTGAAATAAGTCTGTCTTTGAAAAACATTTTCTTCTTATGAGTGAGATTGTGAATATTCTGAAGATGAAAGAATTAGCACCTCTTAGAAACACAATTCAACCACTGAGTCAAAACTGTTACAAACAGCTTAAAACATGTGAGAGGATCCTCCTTGAGGCATGGGTCGGGCCTTGCACAGTTTTGCAGCCTAAAAGTTGTCTTGCCCATCAAATTAAGGAAGAAGTCAGAAGCAAGAAAGAGGAAGAAGGAGGAAGAGAAGAAAGTTGGTGCCACAGGCCTTCCCAGCATTCCCATGTTGCTTTTTCTATGCTCTTTGTTTCTAAATTTTCACCATCATTTTATCGCTTTAATGAGTAGCTTATGTACATACTTTTCTCATATTTGGGGTACTTTTCATAGGGAAGAATTATGAAACTTATGACATATGGTGTATAGAATGGTAACTTTAGAGTTAACAAATAAGAATAACATGAAGTTGATATTAGTCTAAGATTTTGACATTGTCAAAAATGTTAAAATTTCAATTCCTTATACTCATCAGTAAGCAGTTCTTGTCTTTTGGTTAACTAAGGCAACAACTTGCACCAACCAGAATTATAATTTTGTCCAGAAGTATTTCAGTTACTCATGAGTGTGTTAGGCACTATATTATAGGGGATTTTGCTTTTGCATCTAATGGAGTGGTGCCCCAGGAGGTATAACTTTATAATATCATCCCTGCAATACATATCATGCTCTCTTGAGGAGTAAATAACACTTTATTGGCAAGAGCTAACTTGAATGAATCTTTAAACAATCCTGGTCATTATTGGGGACTTTCTCTTCTATTTACACTTTCTGTTCTGGTTACCTTGTTCTTCTCTGACAAGAAAATACCACGAAGGTGATGGCTTTAACAAACTAGAGTTTATTCTCTTATGGTTTGGAGGCTTTAAGTCCAAGTTCAAAGTGCCAGGCTCTAGGGGCTGAGTAAAAGCCCCTCAACCTTGGGCTTCAGCTTTGCCTCCTACTCCTGGTCTACTGAAGCTGGAGGCTTTTCTTCACTCAGACAGCTGCTGGCTGTTCAGGCTAACAAACCCAAGGTTGACAAGTAAAAAGGTACAGTCCCAGTTGAATGTCCCAAGATTGGCAGAGCATGGCAGGCTGCTGAACAACTCGACTACATGCAGGGTTCAAACGTGCCACAAAACTAGAGACCGTTCCCACAGCTGCTTCTTACATATGGGAAGCAGACCACATCCCCAAAGCAGCTACTCAGCTGCTTGTGGTAGATCCCACCATGGAGCTGATTACAAGTCTCGTCATGGGGAATAACTGCTGCCTAGCCACTCAACCAGGTTCAGCCAAGTTGACACACAACCTTAACTATCACACTTTCCAATTGACAAAGTAGTGGAAGCATTTTGTTTACTTCCTTTTAATTGGAATTTTTTTTTTTAAAGTGTTGTCCAGAAGAGGAATATACATACCTACTTTCTCATTGCTTTTGGATTAGGACTAAAGTGTATTGAGAGTGGCTTGTAAAAGCCACCTATAACTTTGTTGACCACACAAAATGGCAGAAGCAATAACTACAGAAGTTAATTACAACCTTTTCATTTGTTCCATAATCAGATGAAGAGCTCTACAATTAATTTTGAATTTGAGATAATTGCCAATGATCTTAATCTTTATGTTTGAGCTCTAATTAATGGTCATACCTTCCAATCTACATGATACATTAATGCCCTTTGAAGTCATCTATTGCTGCCCTGGTGGAACTATACCTTGCCCAGGGTATCTTGGCTTTCTTTATGGTCCTTAGGTAACAGCTGTTCCCATTGAAGGACTTTGTCCTTGCAACTAATTTCCCTTCTACCTCTAATTTCTGGTTACTTGGTAAACTAATATGCTAATTTTTGTTATTGTTGTTAGGTACCATCGAGTCAGTTCCGAATTATAGCAACCCTGTATACAAAGAATGAAACACTGTCTGGTCCTATGCCATCCTCATGATCAATGCTATATTTGAGCCTACTGTTGCAGTGACTGTGCCAGTCCATCTTCTTTTTTGCTGATTCTCTGCTTTACAAAGTACCTCCTGATAATATGACCAAAGTACATTGAGACAATCTTGCCATCCTCCTGTTAAGGAGCATTCTGGCTGTACTTCATCCAAGACAGATTTGTTTGTTCTTCTGGTAGTAAACAATATATTCAGTATTCTTTGACAATACCATAATTCAAACACATCAGTTGTGCTAAGTGAGAAATTCTTATTTTTGAGCTAGTTCCATGTCTTTTTGAGTAGGGGGTAGAAAATCGGAATGGAGAACTAATGTGGTACAGTGGGGAAAACACAGGCTTTGGGTCCAGCAGAAAATCAAGATGTGGGTTAAAAAACCAACTGCACCACTTTGTGTCAGCATGACATAAATGATCCATGATTGCCTAAGCCCTCTGAGTCATAGGAAAAGTATAATAGTGACAACCATGACACCAACTTCAAGGGCTAATTGAAAGTGGTGTCTGTGAAAACTGTGAACTTCTAAGCAAATATTTTTCATTTCCAGACTCTATTTCCTTTTTTAAACAGCCTTATTGAGGAATAATTCTCACACCATGGAGTCCTTGGGTGGTGCAAACAGTTAATGTACTCAGCTGCTAACCAAAAGCTTGGCAGTTCACATCTATCCAGACATGCCTTAGAAGAAAGGTCTGGCAGTCTGCTTCCCAACACACAGCCACTGAAAAGCCTGTGGAGCACAGTCCTGCTCTGAGACCATGGGATTGCCATGATTCATATTCAACTTGATGCTAACTGGTTTTTGGTAATTCCCAAAATTATACAATTCACCCATTTAAAGTATACAATTCAGTGATTTTTTTTGTATGTTCGCAGATAGGTATAACCATAACCACAGTCAATTTTAGGACATTTTCTTCATCTCAAAAAGGAACCTCATGGCCTTTAGCTAGTGCCTCCCAGCCCCATCCATTACCTTTTAAATTCTTCTTTTGTTTATTTACAGAGACTCTAGGATGGCTTTTTAAATTCAGTTAAGTAAAATAAAATTACTTGGGAATGACATTAAAATACTGTTTTGTATGAAGAGTGTCTCTGTAGAGCATTACAATTAGTAATCTATGTGCATTGGCAGCATTAGGGATGATGAGCTGAGTGATAATAAATATTATTATTATATTTTTGAGACTACAACTCCCAATCCATTTCTATTTTAAGAAGCAAAAAAGATGAATACTCACTGTTATTAAAGCCACAGTTTCATGAAGCAGGTCACTAGAGTGGGATGGAGCCATAGGAAGACTAAAAATGTGCACATGGATGGTGTTTTTGCAGAGAAGGTTGTGGGAACTCCTACCCCACTCAATAGCAAGGTGTTCTACATCCAAGGAAACCAACAGTATCAAGAGGCTGTTTTTATTGTTCCTTAACTTTCTGAACATGAGTGTGACTTCATGCAGTAGAGCTAGAAAGAAAGGAAAGAAGGGAGGGAGGGAAGATAGAGTTACTCCTGTGGTTCCTCTCTTTCTGTACAACCCAAACATTGATGAAGCAGAATTGAAACCTGTGAACTTCTAAGCAAATATATTTTTTTTAATGTGTATGTGATATTGACTGGGGGAAAAGGAACTCAACTCTGACCTCCTTTCTCTGCCAGGTCGTCAGATCCCACCCTTGGACCCCCATGAAAATGGAAACAGTGGCGCCATCAAGCTCGGGAAGCAGACCACGCAGGTCAGCCGGCGGTGCTGCTGACGTGGACCCTCACCTGAATGCACTTGAATAGGCCGGACCTCTCTTGTGCACTGCCTGAGGTCCTCTGTTTTTGGTGACCCTGGTACCCCACTCAAGAAGAACGAGCACACTGGCTTTGCATCATGGAAGGCTGGCAGGGAATGGGGCAGAAAATATCCCTGAAAAAGGATTTTAGGAAACTTTTGGGAAAAAGCCACCACACTATTACAAAATGGTCTTCAGTGCATGAAATGCACAAGGCAGAGAACAGATGTTATGTAATTAATATATGTTGAGTTGTTTGTTAAAACTTTTTAAAAATCCTTGAATTTGTCCAAAAGTCTTTCTAGCCTATTATGTATTGGATTCCAGTGTAGTGATCCATTCTGATTCCCTGACTTATCTAGCCAAAGTTCAGTAACTTCTTAGAGCTGTTGCCTGTTTAATTTAGTCAGCCATTACTAAAAGGTAAATTTAATTTAGAAGGTAAGTTTTTCAGCTGGCTTTGGAACTAACTCTCTCCTTACCACCTTTTAGAAAGAAATCAGGAAATGTAATGGGACCATCACTCAAGCCTCAGACTTGAGCTGTTAAAAAAGAGGAGAAAAGTGTATTAAAAACTGTTTTCCACATCCTGAGCTTTTAACTGAGCAGCACTTTTCTCAGTTTGGTCATATATAAATACACCAAATCTGACTAAAATATTGCATATAGTTTTGGAATTGGGGAGCCTAGTTTGAAAGAGTAATTGAAGTAGTTACTATGTAAGTGGTAATTGATGTAGGATTTAAGTATTATTAAAGACACCATCTGGCATAAATCACCACCACAGCCATAAATCCTACTCTATTAGAGGTGTTATTTACTAAAAGGATATGTCATGGTGTCATATCAAGGGATGAGAATGTTTGAGTCTAAATCATAGGGCAAACTTCTAATAGCAACTGGTTGTAGGTTATAAGACAGGTAGCTGGTATTAGCACCTTAAGATTCTATACCCCAAAACTACAAAGTCAGAGGAAGTATTTTAAGTTGCCAAACTTAGAAAGGTGGCTATTAGGGCAAACTGATGTCCGACCCTAGAATGCTATTTAACTGAAAATGGAGTTTGGTGAAAACCTTCCTTTTTAGTTTCTATCTGCACAATTAATTAAAGATGTCTGAATCTGTGGGAAGTAACCAGAGAAAAGCTATGGAAAGGAAGAAAAGCTATTTCCACTCAAAATTCAAATACTGTTACCATTCTGACCTTCATGAAACCCTAGGATCAAGAAGCAGTTGATTTTTTTATCAGGTCTTATACTGAGAGGTGGTTCCTAAAGGCTGTTCCAGTTAGTGACTATTGTGGGGGCTAGGAAGATTGTAGAAGAATGATGTTAGAAATGGTCGATCATGAAGCATGGTAACAAGTGCAGCAGGTACCTTCTTTGCCATGACCACTTACGGACCAGCAGACATTGAAAACCTACAATGTAAAGACTTAAGCATTTCAGTAAGTCAGTGTGAGCTGGTACTTTAAACCCTGTTGTGACTGTGCCCACCACCCTCTTGGTGGATAGAGATACTGAGTCACATCATATACCAAAAAAAAAAAAGGAAAGGTCTTTGAGAGACCAATGGCAAGTTCACAGTTGTCACTTTCTTGTTAATATGGCTTTCTGTTGATTGCAGTCAGAAAAACAGGACCAGATTTATTCTGTTCAACTCCAAAAGATGCTATCAATTTCATGTCCTGACAATCTTAGAATGTGAAGGCTAAAAACACTTATTTTTGGTTCAAGAGTACTTCTTGGCTCTCTTAGGCAGGTACCTCAAAACTGTTAGCAAGTGGAATTTGGCTGTCTTGACAGGACGTCTGCAGGAATTTTTTGAGTTTTCTCTGCATTGTCAACATTACTAGCTAACATGATTCTGCTTGTCAACCAAGCAATAATCATGCCTTTTTTTTATAAAGGTTAAAAAAAAAATTGCATTAAAAATGAAGTTTCTTCTTCTCAGGTGGCATGTGGGCTTATTTTTGACCCTTTCATTACCCAGCTCTCCCTAAGAACTTGGGTTTATTTCTAGACAGCAGCTCGGGTCACCTAGCAGAGCAGGTGGGCAGAGTCTCACAGCTTTGGGCTTGGTTTGCAGAGGTCGGCATTTTGCATAAAATGGCTATTCTTAACCTCATGCACCCATGGTTTTATTTCAGAAGCCCATAAGAATGTGAAGCCACTCTTTTACCTTTCTGTTGCCTTAAGTATTCAAGCCAGTATGAGGAGATATATATATATATATATATATATATATATACACACACATGCACACACACTTCACAGTTGGTGAAGACAGAGTTGATAGCATTTAGGCATTCAGGCATTCAGGCATTGGCATCCATGTGGGGTCTTCTCTGAAGACAGGTGCTCTGGCCTTGCCCATTAATGAGTCTTTGCCCTTTTCCTTTATTTTGGTTACAGATTACTTTTTCACTGATCTAATCATTGAACTATAACCACATAATATTATGTGAACACCTTGAGATTCCAATTGCTCCAGAATGTCAAATAGTCCATGTTATGTAGCATCTTTTCCATCATGTACTTGTTCGCTTCTGCCTCTTTTCTTTCCTTTCACATGTGTGTGTATATGTAAATATGATATTATATTTGTTACTCTGACATGTTACCCATTTCACTGGCTGGATCTGGTACATATATCTGTTATGTACTATAGGTATGGGGTCTCATAGAGGTTGTTTCCCAATGAAATCCCTAGGAATGGCAGTAGACATGCAACCATTTTATGTAGCTACATGGTTAACTTGTCATTTTATAGTTAGAAATGGTACGTTAGGATGCTGAATATGACATTATCTTGCAGACTATAAAAGGTTGAAGACTTAAAACTAACCTTTAGCCAACAGTTAGGGGCTGTGCCCCAGTGAAAATGGAATTTATTTTCTGATAGAGGTGTGGGTGACTGAGGTTTTCTTCCAAGATCAAGGACCATGGCATGAGATGACTGAAACTGAGCTTCTCTTAGTGGGCTCTACTTCTCTTTGCAGTGCTCACTGTGGCAAGTTGAATAAGGAGCTAACTTATAAATGAAAGGACTCTGATTTGTATTCAGACCTATGAGGTATATAGTTTACACTTTTAACCATCATTATTTAAACCAGACCCAATGATGCAATGTCTGTGCTATTGTGTAAACTTCTCCTTTTCCTCCTGTGTGTTATAAAGGCTCGGTCTGGGCTGGACCCAGATCATGCATATAGAAGACACCACTTCAGAGTTAGGACCTTTCCTCCTGTATTCGTTAGTAAAGTCATTCCCTCAACAATGCTCAATTGTATCTGTTATTTTTGGTTTAACACACACTGATTCATACTAATAAATATTTTCAATTTTACCAAGTTTATCTTCTTATTATTATAATGTTCAGTGTTGTTGGAATAATTTAAAAAGAAAATCGATCATCTAGGAATGAAGAGTTCTGATTCCCCAAAGATACTTGTGCACCTGTACAGATGAAGATAAGTATAAAGTTGCTCACTGAAGAACTGTTTGAAGTAGCACAAAATTGTCAGCCAATAAAGAAACAAATACAGTGTGGCACAGCCACATGCCTATTAAAATGAATGCAGGGTGTGCAGTGCGCTGCCACAAGGTGGGTGCAGGGCTGCCAGGGAGCCCCCTGTGCTGTTGTGTGTGGATGAGTACTCAGAGCTGTGCCTAATGAGCACTAATATGGGCCCCACTGAGTGAAGCATGTTGAAGAAGTGCAAATGCATATAAACTTACACAAAACAATAGTATATGTTATTTATTAATGTTTTTGTGTATGTGTAATAAAGTAAAAGAATTAGAAGGAAACACATGAATTTCATGATGGTGCTTACCTCTGGGGAGGGAGAGAAGTGAACAGGATCAGGGAGTAGAGCAAAGGTCATTTAACTTACCAACAACTTTTAAAATTTATTTTGTGAAATAAAAATCTGAAGCCAATATAATGATTCCAACTCATAGTGACCCCCATTGGGTTTCCAAGGCAGTAAATCTTTATGGAAGTAGATTGCCCAGTCTTGCTTCTATGGAGAGGCTGGTGGGTTTGAACCACCAACCTTCTGGTTAGCAGTCAGATGCCTTAGGCACTACACCATCAGAGCGTCTAATATAATGATTTGTCGTTGTTGTTATGTACCGTTGAGTCGGACCCGACTCATAGCAGTTAGTAAATTCAAAGTGTTTGTCTTACTGGTTTCTATATTTCTCTCTCTCTCTCTCTCTTTCTCTGTGTGTGTGTGTGTGTGTGTGTGTTTCCAAGATGCTGGGGGTTTGACAGAAAGAACCTGAACTGCATTACGCTTACTTTTAAACATGCTAGGAAGGTTTCATGAGCATAATTCCCAACTTCCTGCATTCAGTAGATTTTATGAGGTGCACTTACTCCTGTCCCCTCTCCTCTACCATCTTAGCTACCTGCCCCTCAACCCACACAGTCTCCCTCATGCATACTCATGGGTCTTAGATTTTCTGTACAGGACTTCATCTAATGTCTAGATGGCTATGGAGAGCAGGAAGTGGGACAGGACAGCAATGCCTTACATTCTAAACTTCCAAGACCATGCTATGAAACTGTTTTAAATATGTAAACAATCAGACACCATCACGGACAGGAGACTCAATGTTCTGATTTTGCAAGAACACAAGACTTTATTTTGAATTTACTAAGAAGTGGTTGCCTATTTATGGCAACTTTGGGAAATGTTTTTAGAAATAATCCAGGCGCCATGAAGGGAATCAGCCAGCAAGTTTTGAGCAGCCCAGTCTTCCTCCCAGCCCTCTCGGTCAGTAGCATTTTGGACACTGCAGCTGCAGTGCACTGCATTCTGCATCCCCTCCAGCCCTCAGTCGTCCTTTCTCGATGGAGCCTTATTTAAGATGAAACCAGTGTCTGAACGGTTAATAGACTGATGCCTCAGTGGCCTTCATGGCAACTTGTGCTTTTCAACCAAACAACTTGGGTTTATTTAAGGG